GTGGTGTTGGCAAAGAATATTGAATATACCATGGACTGCCAAAAGAACGAACAAATCTGTCTTGGAAGAAGTACAACCAGAATGCTCCTTAGAGGCAAGGACAGTGAGACTATGCCTTACTTTGGACATGTTGTCAGAAGGGATCAGTCCCTGGAGAAGGACATCATGTTTGGTAAAGTAGAGGGTCAGTGAAAAAGAGGAAGACCCTCAACGAGATAGATTGACACACTGGCTACAACAATGGGCTCAAACATAACAATAATTGTGAGCATGGCGCAGGGCCGGCAGTGTTTCATTCTGTGGTACATAGGGTCGCTGTGAGTCGGAACCAACTCGACGGCACCTAACAACAACAACAATTTAGGACTCTCCATTGTTAGTATGAACAGGTAGCCACGCGGCTCTTGGATTATTAGATTGGGAGGAGAGTAATTCTTTATGTTTGTGAAATGCATTTATTGACAAATATTCTGGAGTTTTAAAATATATTATTTCATCTGACTTTTACAGAAAGTGTTATCACCACTGTATAGATTTTATAGGTGCCCTGGTGGTGCAAACAGTTAAGTGCTCAGCTGCTAACTGAACGATTGGTGGTTTGAACCCACCTAGTAGCTCCACGGGAGAAAGACCTGGTGATCTGATCCTATAAAGATTACAGCCAAGAAAACCATATGGGGCAGTTCTACTCTGTCATATGGGATTGTTATGAGTCAGAATTGACTCAACAGCACCTAACAACAACAAGATAGATTTTATAGATGAAGAAAGTGAGAACCAGTAAGGTTAGGTGATTTATCTGAGGTTATACAGTGAATTAATGTATTAGTGTCAGGTCCAGGGCTTTGCTAACTCTGAATTGAGTGCTATGTCTTTAGAGCACACCATAGCTTTCTCTGTCTTGGTTAGTACATAGCCCTGTGTCAATATGATAAGGCCATTAGTAATAAACTTTATAGCTGCTTGTGGTTTAGAGCTCAGAGCAAAATCAACAATGGCCATACCTCCAGATGACTGTTACAAAACCCTTCCGGGAGGCATGTAGGCCCATGTGTAGTACAAAGAAAGTTAAAATTATATTAAGCATTTGCTTAACATGTTCATTTCCTTGAAGCCAGCAGAGTTTTTGGTTCAGATAATTCTGATGATGAAGTGAAAAAAATGTCCTGTATCTTTAATAAATTGCCTCAGTTCCCTTCTTCTCCTTGGCAGCAGAACTTGGCCAATGGCATATTGGAAAGAGAGTTATGCCTTCCTGGAGGGCTCTAACATGTCCCTTGGGATGAATTTACAGGACAAGTTAGGGAGGATTTTTATGATGCAAAATTTGGCATTAAACTAGTTGATTTACTCTAGTTATGCATTCTTGCTTTTATTTATTTAAAGAGTAAACACATTTCCTCTGAATAAATGGAACAACAAATATGGATTGTTAAGCATAACAGACAGGATTCAAGTCCCTGCTATGCCAATTACTAGCTACGATCTTGGGCAACTTGGTTAAACCCCATGAGCCGCAGCTTCCTCATCTACCAAACTGAAATACTAACACTCACAGGATTTTGAATATTTTTTGTTGCCTACCCAGAATCAATTTCCCCAATTCCCATCTGGGGACCCTCTTCCCCTACTGTCTATCTCTCTGGTCTGGTAGGGCTCCATCACCCCACTCCAGGAGTGCAGCATGTGACTCAGAACAGACTTTGTGAAGCCCTAGCCAGGTGACCATTTCAGGGATAAGCATGTAATCCGAGCGCATCTAAGCTCCTGTAAGGAGGCTCCTGGGAAGTGCTGCTGTCTATTTCCTGCTGAAAACAGAGATGCTGGAAGACTGTCTGGCTGGAGCAGCTCCAGTTACCTGCCCCACAAGGAACCCGAGAATGAAGCCAACACACAAAAGAAGGCAGAGCCAAGCCAGGGGATGGAGAGAGACTAGGTTCTGATAATATTGTTTGAGTCCAGTCATCTCTGAAGCCTACCCTACCCCTGGACTTTCCAGGTTCATGAGCCAATAAATTGCCTTTGCATTTATGCCAGTTTGATTCAGATCAATCAAGATCCTAAATGATATTCTACCTAATTTTGAAAATTAAAAAGAAAATAATGTAAAGTGCTTAGCAAAATATCTGCTATACAGTAAGTGTTCAATAAGGGTAGCTTGATTGTGCTTCTTACAGTTTAGTTTAGAAGAGAGGGGACTCCATACTTATTTTGAATATCAAGCAAACTTTTTCAGGCATAATAAAGAGCTAGTCTTTATATATATATAAATTTATACATACATTAAATTATTTTATTTTATTGTTGTTGAGAATATACATAGCAGAACATACCAATTTCTACATGTACAATTCAGTTATACTGATTATATTCTTCAGGTTGTACATCCATTATTACCCTCCTTTTTCAGATTATTCCTCCCCCATTAACATAAACTCACTGCCCCCTAAGTTTCCTATCTAACCTTTATAGTTGCTATTGTCAATTTGATCCCATATAGATAGCTGTGAAAAGCCAGTCTTCTTGGTAGGCTGAATCCCATGAGGTATGATATCGGAGATACCAAGAAGGCTTTCCTATGCTTCCAAATATCTCTCTGTCTTTGGTTTTGACAGCTCTCCAAAAAACCAAACCAAACCTCAATGCCATCAGGTCAATTCCAACTCATAGCAGCCCTATAGGAAAGAGTAAAACTCTACTGTAGTGTTTCCAAGGCTGTAATCTTTATGGAGGCAGATTGCCCACTTTTCTCCTGCAGAGCGGCTAGTGGGTTCAAAGCTCAATCTGGCTAGCAGCTGAACACTTAACCACTGCACTACCAGGGCTCCTTGTTGATAGCTCTAGATTTGCTTCCCTAAAGATTACATCCCTGGAAATGCTATGGGGCAGTTCTACTCTGTCCTATAAGGTCACTACGAGTTGAAATTGACTTGATGGCAATGGGTTTTTTTAGATGTCAAAAATCGTCATTAATGCCTTTGTTTTAACACCTTTAAGGAGAAGTTTCTCACTTAGCAATTACACCTGTGAGAATAAGTTCTATTCCTCTATTAGCTCTATTACTGAGGACAGGTTGTGATAGTAGCCCATAGAGATAGTAGTCCACTAGGTTCCCTGAGGGAACAAGAGGGACACAGCCACGCTCAGAGGAGGGTGCAGGAATAAAAGTTCAGCAATCTTCTTCTGCAGTTTTGCTCTGGCTGTCCTTGCTAGGCACCCACTAAAAGCTCCCAGTCCAAGATTTTAGAAGGACACGTAATTTTTCTGAACTTAAAGGATATTTGGCTAAAATGGCCAGATAGACCTCTGTTAAACAAGCACAGTATGTAACCCAGTCTTCTTCTGCCCAGGCAGTCCCTAGACCCTAACCATCAGTCACAGAAGTTCCAAGGAAACCAAGGACTACAAAAATGATGGTAGCCAAAAGACAGCAGAAGCACCTCAAGGTAATGAGGCCAAGGAAAGGTTACAATGAAAAGAGAATCAAAGACTTGCTCTTGTCAGGTGTGTGTGAGACAAGTACCTTGGTCATCTACGGTTCTTGGCCTGCAAAGGAGACGGCTGGATACAAAGACTGGACTGAGCACTGAGTAAATATTTTAAAGTTTTATCAGAACTCTGACAGACATGCCCCTGGGTAAAGATCTGAGTCATAGTTCAAAGAAATTAGGCAGAGATTCATGGAAGCAACAGTCTAAACAACTTCCTATTTAAATAAAGGACTCAATTTCCCCTCCCGCTCTCCCTCCTTCCCCCACTTCTCCCCCTTCTCCTCCATTCCTCCCTCCCTCCACCCCTTTCTTTCTTTAACTCATGGCCCCAGTTTTCTTCTTTTTAAGCATATAACACGTGCATTGCTGTCTAGTTTATTCTCACTCATAGAGACCCTATAGGACGGAGTAGAACTGCCCCATTGGGTTTCCAAGGCTGTGATCTTCAGGGAAGCAAGACTGCCACTTCTTTCTCCCATGGAGCAGCTGGTAAGTTCGAACCACTAACCTTTCAGTTAGCAGCCTAGCGCTTAACCACTGAGCCAGCAGGGCTCTTTTAAAAGCACATATAACCCCCTAAAAGTCTCATTCCATTGACATGAGTAGTTTCCTCTTCAAAATCCCATTCTGTGGCTACATAGATATTTTCCTGTTTCTTGTCATTTGCTAGCCACTACCTGTCAGGCAGCAGAATATCAAAGATTCATACTACTTGCTTCGCTTAAATAACTCTAAGCCATTTTTAGCTAGGTCAGAGCTCCACTGGAGGTGGAATGCCACTTCTTGAGGCCGGTGACTTGTGGAAACGGATTGCTTGGGTTCAAGGCTCTATTGCACTTTTATTGAGTCTTGCATCATTTTTAAGAGCTTATCTTTGGGTTACTTTTGCTTGAAAATATTTGAGATTATGTAGAGGCTCCTAATATTTTAAAAAAGGAGCCCTCGTGGTACAGTGGTTAAGCGCTCAGCTGCTAGCCTAAAGGTCAGCAGTTTGAACCCACCAGGTGCTCTGTGGGAGAAAAACGTTGACAGTCTCCTTCTGTAGAGATTACAGCCTTGGAAACCCTATGCGGCAGTTCTATTCTGTCTTACAGGGTCATTATGAGACGCAACTGACTTGACAGCAACGGGTTTAGTTGTTTTAAAGTTTTAAAACAAGACAGTGAATTTTCTAACCCCTAATCTCAAAATGTGCCCTACTGAGGTTTATAGAACACAATCAATTTTCACGTGCAAAAATGAAAAACCAGAAAGATGTCACAGGGGCTATCCTAGCAGGTGGTACTTGGTACTGTGACCAAAATTCTGGGGAAACAGTCCAAGGAGAAAAGCACTGTGATCTCCATGGCTTTCCTTTGCAAGCACTGAAGGAACTCTGTACTTCTTTTTAAACTCCAACCTTTAAGCTACACTTAACCCTTCATTCTTTTTGCTACCCCTGGTGGTGTAAACGGCTAACACGCTCAGCTGCTATCCGAAAGGCTGGCGGTTCAAGTCCACCATGAAGCACCTTAGAAGAAAGGTCTGGGGCTCTACTTCTGAAAAATCAGCCATTGAAAACCCTATGGAGCACAGTTCTACTCTGACACTTACAGGGTTGCCAAGAGCCTGAATCAACTTCACGGCCACTGTTCTTTAGTAAACTACCCAAATTATCCCACCCTCAGGCATCTATTCCAAGCACCAGAACTACTCCACTCTTGTCACAGTTATAACTAGCAACACAGAATCCTTATGGAGTTCAGCTTTGCCCAGACTTGTATGTAAGTCTTTTTTCTCTTCATCCAGGTGAGGTTCTATGATTTTCAGCCATAAGCCCTTGAGGAAACAATGCTGGAGTGTAAACCAAAAACTCAAACCTGTTGCCATCGAGTGGATTCCAACTCATAGCAACCCTGTTGGACAGAGTAGAACGGCCCCCATAGGGTTTCCAAGGAGTAGCTGGTAGATTTGAACTGCCTACCTTTTGGTTAGCAGCCAAGCTCTTAACCACTGTGCCAGCAGGGCTCCCTTGGTTATCTAGTGCTGCTATAACAGAAATACCACAAATGGGTGACTTTAACAAACAGAAATTTATTTTCTCACATTTAGGAGGCTAGAAGTCTGAGTTCAGGGTGCCAGCTCTAGGGGAAGTCTCCTTTTTCTGTCAGCTCTTCCCCCCTCTCTGTTTGCTCACTTGCTTGTTTAACCTCTTTTAAATGTCAAAAAAGATTGACTTGAGACACACTCTGCACTAAAACTGTCTCATTAACATAAGAAAGAAAAACTCATTCCCAAAGGTAGTTATAATCATAGGTATACCAAACCAAAAACCCATTGCCATCGAGTCAATTCCAACTCATAGCGATCCTATAGGACAGAACAGAACTACCCCATAGAGGTTCCAAGGCTGTAAATCTTTACAGGACCAGACTGCCATATCTTTCTCCTGCAGAGCAGCTGGTAAGTTTGAACGTGCCAACGTTTTGGTTAGCAGCCAAACACTTAACCACTACACTAGCAGGGCTCTAACCACAGGTATAAACCAAAAAACCAAACCCATTGCTGTCAAGTCGATTCCAACTCATAGCGACCCTATAGGACAGAGTAAAACTGCCCCATAGGGTTTCCAAGGAGGGCTGGTGGATTCGAACTGCCTACCTTTTGGTTAGCAGCCGAACTCTTAACCACTGTGCCACCAGGGCTCCCTCTCTGTTAGAGAGGTATTAAAAATACCAGTATCAAACGGAAACTTAAAACAAACACCCCCCCCCCACAAAAAAAAAGAATTGAGAGAGAATTGAAAAGGAATAAGCTTCTTGTACATTAATGTTATGTACAACGAAGTTCCTGTACCCCCTGAAATTATTTTGAATTTGTTTCCCACACTCTGGGATAAATAAATTGGACCCTATTATTTTCTACTTCATATTCTATCATCTTTTCGCCCTGTATCTCACTACTTACATTTGGATAAATTTTCTGTATATACCCCCCAGCTAGTATTAGCCTCAATATAAATTAGCATTTCTAAGTATCCCTATCTCTATATAACATGCATGAGATAATTTGTCTGACTGCAAGAAAGGATATGTGAGATACACAGGAGGGAAAGAGAACTGTTTATCATAAATACCAGTGGGTAGAATATTATGAGACTAAGCATTAAACATTAAATTAAGGTATTTCAGCTGTCTCAAAATCACATTTCATATCAGACAGCTTCTTTCTTGAATTAATAAGTTACTGAATCTCATCATTTACAAACATTTTTATATACTGGTTTTATAATAGAAACAATGATTTTACTTAAACTGTAAGCAGTGGCAATTATCTGAGGGCTCAAAATAGCAGCACACTTGAATAATGAAAGGATTCATTCAATAAATATTTATTGAGCACCTACAAGGTACCAGGTACTGTCGGGACCAGGAAAGGTCAAGGGTGACTGACCCTGCTTCAGAGGGTCAGGAAGGGCTTTACAAGCTGGTCACAATTCAGTTGAGTTTCCCAAGAAGAATAGGAATTTGTAAGAGTATCAAGGGGAGGAGGATACTCCAGGCGGGGGGAACAGCATCTGCAAAGGCATGGAAGCCTATTCTGGGAAATGTGAGTGGTTCCATACGGCTAGAATGAAGAGCTATTATGACAGAGAGTGGCAGAATATGAAGCTAAAGGGGCAGGCGGAGGCCAGCTCACAAAGGGCATTACCCTGTAAGTTACCACCCCAATAGTCATTTCTCATTCTTGCTAATAGAACTTTGATTTTGTTCAGGTGGTAGAGTGCCCAGGAGCAGAGCATGAATTGGCCTGACCCAATTATAGGAAGCCCTTTACCTTTGATGATTGCGCTAGCTCCACGGCTGGGCATGGCACTCAGTTCTGGACAAAGTCTGGTGGAAGGCATCTAGGAAAGAGTTTCATCCCTGATTTCATAAAACAAAAACAACTTCCCTTTTTCATCATTCCCTTCCTTTGTAAGTTGAATGCTGCCATGTGAGGAAGTAGTATCCAGAGCTGCAGCTGCCATCTTGTGACCATAGTGAGAAGTCTATGGTGAGGATGGAAGCCACACACTGAGGATGGAAGACAGAAAGGGCAGAAAGTGACAGGGTTTTCAATAGGTTGTCAAACCTATTGTAAGACTGCCTAGCTTAGGAATTTTAGCTAAGAAAACAACAAATGTCCTTATAGTCAAAGCCTCTATTAATTGTGCTTGCAGTCCAATGTGTCATAAGTGGTATCATGCTAAGAATGACATTTTTATGTATGGCTAAAAAGTTTGGACCTTACGATGAAGGGGAATGGGAGCTATGAAAAGGTTTAGGTAGGGGAATGAATTATCAGCTTTGTGCTTGAAAATGATTACTCTGGCTGCTGTGTGCAGAACGGGCTGGCAGTGGAAGAAACCTAGGCAGAGAGACCAGTTACGAAGCTACTGCAACCGTCCGAGAGGTTAGATAGTGCCTAAGCAAAGGCAGTAGCAATGACAAATGGGGAGGAGGGGATACATTTGAAACCTATTTTTAAGACAAAATAATATAACTTAGTGACTAATTGGATGTGAGACATGGGGAAGACAGAAGAATCAGGAATGGCTCTGGGGTTTCTGGCTTGGTTGACTTGAAACACATGAGATCCGGCTTTAATTCAGGCTTTGCTACAAGCTAGTCGAGTGATCCTAGGCTAGTTTCCTCATTTTGAGAGGGTCAGATTAAAAATACAATAGCAAATTGACCTCATCTCTACCAACTGCTCCAAATCCAGGAGCGCTTTTAGTTCAAAGTGCTCTGGGGAAGAAAAAAGCCCACTCCTCTAATGGAGGCTTGGATTTGTTTGTGCAGAGCCTTTGAGCCTTTGTTTCTGTTTTAGCTTAGTTTGAAATGGGGGAAATGGGGCAGAGGCCTGGATGATACATGGGTGATAACCAAGTATATGAATTAAAGCAACAGAACCTCATTTTCCACTTGTCATCAAGAGCTATTCTTGATTAAAGTTCTCATACAAAGCCTTGTCCACCTCCCCTTGGATTCACTGCTGGGCATGGGGGTCTTTCTCCTTGACGGTTTCTTTACCACCTAGATCTGTCAGCTGTGA